ATGATACCTTTGCTGGGTAGAATAACCTTAATTGTAGATCCTTGCTTTTCATCGCTTTGAATATTTCTTGCCAATCCCTTTGGCCTGCAAAGTTTCTGTTGAGAAATCAGCTGACCATCATATGGAGGCTCTCTTGTAGATAACTAACTGCTTTTCTCTTGCTGCTTTTAAGATTCTCTCTTTATCTTTAACCTTTGTCTATTTTAATTATGATGTGCCTTGGTGTGGGCCTCTTTGAATCTTATTTAAGATTCTGTGTTTCTTGTACTTGTATATCTGTTTCCTTCACCAGGTTAGGGACGTTTTCCATCATTATTTTTTCACATAGGTTTTCAGTTCCTTGAACTATTCTTCTTTTGGCACCCCCGTAATGCAAATGTTGGTACACTTGAAGTTGTCCCAGAGGCTCCTGACATGATCCTCATTTGGGGGGATTTTTTTTCCTGTTCTGATTGGGTGTTTTCTGCTTTCTTGTCTTCCAAATCTCTGATTTGCTACTCTTCTTCAGATACTCTACTTTTGGTCTCCTGTAATGTATTCTTCATTTCAGTTAATGTATGCTTTGTTTCTGACTGGTTCTTTATTTTGTGTTTACTAGTTTCATTTTTATGTTTCCTATCTCTTTGTTGATATTCTCACTAAGATCATCTATTCTTCCTGTAAGTTCATTGAGCATTCTTATACAGTGTTTGGAACTCTGCCTCTGGTAGGTTGCTTTTCTCCATTCTGTTTAGTTCTTTCTCTGGAGTTTTATTCTGTTCTTTCATTTAGGAAATGTTTCTTTGTCTCCTCATTTTGACAGCCTCCCTGTGTTGGTTTCTATGTATTAGATAGAGTTGCTATATCTCTAGGGCTTGGTAGAGTGGCCTTATATAGTAGTTGTCCTGTAGGGTCCAGTGGCACAGGGTCCCTGATTACCCAAGTTGGACACTCCAGGAGCACCCCTTCCCATATGGACTGTGTACACCCTTCTGTTATAGTTGAGCTTTGTTTGCTGTTGGCACATCAATGGGAGGGATTTATCCCCAGGCTGATTGGCTACAACCATTGTGGAGGATCAGCTGTGCAGTGGTGCCCACTGAATCTGCCTCTTGAGTGTATTGTTATAGAGGTGGCTCTCGGCATCCTGGGAGGTGCAGACCAAGATCAGCCACCACCTGTGTCCTGCCCGGGACCACCCAGCATGAGCTACAAAGTGATCTGCAGATGGCTGCTACTTGTGTTAGGAATGGAGGTGCTCACAAGAAGCCAAGCTACTAACCAAGGCTACTGCCCCTAGTGCCAGGCCTGGGACCACTTAGCAAGAGGTACAGGGCATGATGAGGGCAGATGCTGCTTGTTTGAGAGTTTATAGGAAACTCTAAAAATGAGCCAAGACAGGCTGCCCATATGGAAAAAAGCCACTGGAAACAGCTTGGGTGGGCCCACAAGTGGGGTGGGGCAGGGTGTCAGGGAATCACCAGAATAGGGCAAACAGTGTGAGCCAGCTTAATGGTGCCTACTTGTTGGCTCTGTGGTGGAAGGACTCAGAAAAGGAACAATGGCCTCTGCCAGCATTTTTATCTGGAAGAATACTGCCCTCTCCCAGCTCTTGCCCTTATGCCAGACAATTCAGTTCCTCCCGTATGTCCCTGGCACTTTCCAGCTGCTGCCCCAGTACTGGAGCTTAGAGCCAGTGAGTCCACATAAGTCTATGCACAGGCCCTTTGAGAGAAACACCTGGGACTCCAACAGCCTTTCCATCTCACTCAGCTACAATCCCTGCTGGTATTTATAACCAGAAGTTAGGGGGACTTCTCTTCCTGATATTAGAACCCTGGGCTGGGGGGGAGGGGAGGGCTTGTGTGGGTATGGGACCCCTTGCTACTCATGGAGCACCTCTGCAGCCGAGATATCCCTCCCAATTTTTATCTGCTACATATGGGTGTGGGGCCAACCGTTCCAATTCTCCACCCCTCCTACCAGTCTCAATGTGGCTTCTTCTTTATAATCTTAGTTGTAAGACCTCTATTAAACTAAATGTCAGGCAGTTCTGAATAGTTGTTCTGTAATACAGTTGTAATTTTGATATAGTTGTGGGAGGATTTAAGTACTGTGTTTACCTATGCTACCATCTTGACCAGAACTTCCAAGGTTTTTTTTTTGTTTTTTAACCTTTTTGCCTAAGATATTTTCCTTTGTAAAGAGTGCCTGGAAATTTAATAATACCAATGAACTTAATGATTCTCCACCTTTAGTACTATGGGAAGAAATGCTCTTGGAATAAAATCTAATATGTAACAGCAAATAAACCTAAACTGTCGTAGGCAGGTAAAATCTCCATCTGCACTTAACAACAAGAATGTCCATATCAGCTTTGTGTTAGAAAATTTTCCATCAACAAGGAAAGAAAAGAATCTTCTAGAACTAGATCTGTGACAAGGGTATCAACTGTAAGATCAAGAGTTGAAGAGATATATAATGTAGTCATTGTGGGAATGTTTATAGGCAAGAGAAATGTCTTAGACCATGTATATTGTCCTCAAATAACTTTCTCATGGGTAAAACTTTTAAGTTACCCATCTCAGAACCAAAAACTGCCCAAGTGGTACAGCACTGAATGTACTAACCAAAGTAAAGTTTTGTTTTGATTGGTATTCACATAAAATACTAGACGTAGTAATCAGTGTGTTATTAAACAGTAAACTCTACCTTGAAAGGCAAGGATCATGTGATTAATTCTTGTTTCTCCAACTCTCAAACACATCTGTCTATAATAATAAAAGCATAATATGCTAATTAGACTGGACAGCCAAATGACCTTCCGGATGTCATTCTGCACGAAGCTGCGGGCGGGGCCGAGATAGAGGCAGTTAGGGCGATCAGGCAAGCAGGCAAATGGTTAGGGGCGATCCAGCAGGCAGGCAGAGGCACTTAAGGGCGATCAGGCAGGCAGGCAGAGGCACTTAAGGGCGATCAGGCAGGTAGGCAAGTGGTTAGGGGCAATTAGGCAGGCAGGCAGGCAGGCGAGCCGGTTAAGTGCCAGCGGTCCCGGATTACCAGAGGGATGTATGACTGCTGGTTTAGGCCTGATTCCCCCTAAACTGGCAGTTGGACATCCCCCGAGGGGTCCGGATTGTGAAAGGGTGCGGGCTGGGCTGAATCCCCACCCCGCCACCCCCGTGCATGAATTTCATGCACCGGGCCTCTAGTATTTAATAATATGCAATCAGTAAATGTTGAACCATATAACTAATTCTTTCATTAATTCTTCTGAACAGACTGGATTATGGACAGAACTTGGAAAGATTGAGAATAATTTCTTAAAGCCACTCCATACAGGACTTAATATGTCAAAAGCACATTATGAAGCAGAAATTAAAAATAGCCAAGAAAATAGCCAAGGTTAGTAATGTGCAATTTCATTTTCGCTTAGGTCTAACAATTTAGTCATTTTTTTAAACTGCAATTTATATTAAAAATAAAAATCTTTTTAATCTTGTACTTGTCTAATTTATAGCAAACAAGGAACCATGACAGCTAAGTCATTTTATTTATAATTAAAATTATTCTTAGCAGAACTATAAGCCAGTTAACACTGAAATTGGATTAACAAAGATTTAAACCAAACTGAAACATATTCTGGTTTTAAAATCTCAAATCCTAATTAGGAATCTAACTGTATTACAAGTATTTCTATTTGGATATCATTGTATTTCTTTTGGTATTGTTTGCTCCACCGTCTCCCCACTCCCCCCAAATAAATCTGTACAAATTATGAAAAAGAATCTTAGGTCCAGGATTACTTTTTAAAGCCAGCAATTCTACAATAATTTTGTGATCTTTTCCATATAGCTATGGTAATATTTCTATAGACATTACTAGATTTTTTCTTTTTTAGTGTATAATTCTGATTATATACCGAAGAAAAAAATTTATAAGTTTTCATTCATCCTGTACATGCCAAAATAATGCTAGCCACTTAAATAAATATGTTACAGAATTTTGATATTTTTATTTGCTAATTGCTTGACTTAAGCATACCCTGAGATACTAAACAGTAAGACTTAATTTATATAAAGGACATATTTTTAAAGTAATGGAATGATGAAAGTAGCTTATTAATTTATTACTGAGATCAGAGAGAATTGTTTTAAGATTAAAAACATGACATGATTTTTTTTTCTCTTACAGAAGTCCAGAGGTCTAAAGAATTTTGTTCTGTAACCGTAGGTGGAGAAGAGATGCCTAATATGCCTCCTGAAATGCAGCTTAAGGTAGATGTAAAATTTTTCTAAGCTACATCCATTTGAGGTCTTTTGTTTTTTTTACTTCTTTTGTTTTAAATGCATACTTAATTACTCTAAAATTTCTTGGCATTGCAGGTCCTACATTCAGCACTTTTCACATTTGATTTGATTGAAAGTGTTCTGGCTCGAGTAGAAGAACTCATTGAAATAAAAACAAAGTCTACCTCTGAAGAAAATACTGGGATAAAGTGAAAGCTCCATCTCTTAAATAAAAATTAGTAAAATACTGTTTTTCATTATGATTTAATACCTTCACAAAAATTTTTCTGTAAAACACCAATAGAAAAAAACACGCCAATAGAAAAATAAATGTAGCTTTTCTCATCTGTTTCTGTAATGACACATGGATGAATAGTATTTGGTTTCAAAAAGATAATCTCCATGACAAAGAATGCCCATATATAATAAATACTATTGTTAAAATTCAATACAAATTAATAATTTTGTATTATAAGTTTATAAAATGTAGTTGAATTGCCTTCATTCGTATAGTTATAATGAGTTTATAAAAATGCTGATGCACTTTATGTTCCAGTTTGAAGCTGTGTTACATTTTAGAATTCCTAGTGATAAATTGAATATCACTCCAATTTTTTGTGAACATTAAAGGAATTATTCAACAAAACTCTTGAAAATAAAATCACTTTTATAATTGTATATATTTTATTATTTTTAAATCTTTAAAGTAAATATATATTTGAACATTATAATTCAACAAGTCTAATTTTAATAATCTTCCAAAAGTACATTTATAATTGATACTCTAATTTGGGTTAAATGAGTCACTGAGATTTATCTGTTGAAGTGTTTTCCAAACAGGACTTTGCTCAATGATGTAAGCTTTAGTTGTTATCATTCTGTAGCAGATGCTATCTATGTATGGTTTGGAGGTGATCTGGAAAAAGATAAAAATATGCAACATTATTTATATTATTCAAGTATTGATCACTTTCTGTGTGCTCAACACAACATATGACTCTTTAGTGTAATAGATACCTGGTCTCTGTCTTTAAAGAATTTCAAACATGCAAGCCAAAATGTAGACTACTGTAAGAACTGCTTTAATGGAGGTCTCTTCCAAGTGTAAGAGTAAGGAACGCCTAACTGCTAGAGGAGTTGGGGGCAGACTTCACACAGGAGGATAAGCATGAAAAGTATGTTTGCACTCTGACAGTTGATAACTACAACCTGACCAATATTTATACTTTAGAATTTGATGGAAAATTTAAGTAACCAATATGGCTAACACAGTGTGTTTATGGCCAAATACTCTTTTGGCCCAAAATGAGTCATTCTGGTAGTGGCTACCAGAAATAAATTGAAAAGACTTGAGAGGCTGAGTTCAGGAATGGGGAAGGGTTGCACGCTGAAACAGCAGCTTCTCTGAGGGAAACTAAAGCAGAGTATTTGTCAATCATGCTCAAGAGGGGGTACATTTGAAGTCAAGAACAAAGTATATGCCTGTGTATATGTATGTGTCATTTTCCGTAGGTAACTCACCTTAGCTATAGTGCACATAAGATCAATAGCATTTACTGTGTTGTGTACTGGAAGTATCCGTAAGTTACTACCCAGGAATCTGAAAAACAATTCATAAGTTAAACAGATCATATGACTTTTTATTAACATCTGTTATCTTAACACCTTGCTGACTGGTCACAAGATAACTTGTGTTTGCACTTACATTAATGTAAGTAATTTTAAGGTCTGAAAGCAATGTAGAGTTTTAAAATTACTTAATGTAAGTGCAAACCTGAGTTATCTTGTGACCAGTCAGCAATGTCCAGACATGGAAACACAAGTTATCTCATGACCAGTCAGCAAGGTGTTAAGTGGGAAAAAGAGACAAACTTCTTACTGCTTCTCTTTTGTTTACTCAGTCAGGCCCTGCCTTATTTCACAGAGGAACTGACATGGCTTTGTAGTCAGAACTTTAATCAATGAAAAGTGTTTACTTTTGGGTTGATCTTGCAGAAGAATCCCAGAAATCAGCATGAACTTTGAAACTTGTCACCCTGATTCATAGAATAGCCATTTGGCCTGCATTTTATCAAATTTGACAGGTTAACATTATAAAGTTTATCTTTGGGAAAACATAACTCATCTGCCTAAAAGAATTAAGAACTGAAGTAAACACAATATAACTTAACAAAAATAAATTTAGTGCTTTTCCATACCTCTGCTGAATCCTGAACATCAGTTTCCATTCCTCGAGTCCATGGAGGGCAGCAGACAGAACCAAAAGCTATTTTGGTGAATGTTAATAAACTTCTCAATTTTGGCTAGGAATATTTCTTCAGCCGACATAAAGCATTCTTTAGCATCCATCAATAAAAATGCAACTCCTAGGAAAGGTGAATGTCACTTCATCATTAGAAATAAAAAATGTAAAAAAACACCTCAGTAAAAAATAGCTGTAAGTATAACATAGCTATAAGTGTCCAGGTCCTAAACCATGAGTAGAAATCACTGTAACAAAATTCTTAAAACAATGTAGGTGGTTCTCTGAAGTGCTCTGTATAAAAGGATGACTTACTCTAAATATTTAAAGGGGGAAAAAATCTTTTTCAGACTAAGGCATAAAGAGGATAATGCCTAATTTTACTTAAAAGTTAACTTTCCATGTTATAATCTACACTAATAAAAGAGAAACATGGTAATTGGCGTATGACCGCTACCCTTTTCATTGGCTAATCAGTGAGTATATGCAAATTAACTGTCAGCCAAGATGGCGGCCGGCAGCCATGCACTGAAGCGAGCAGGGAGGCTTGCTTGCTGC